AAAATAGGAACCCATGGGTCTACACTGATGATAAATGGGGAAGGAAATGTTTCTTCTTTTAAATAAATGCAGAACGATTGAGTTAAAAAGTCACTACTTCCCAACAGCTATTGTAAACACTCAAACGAGAATCATGCTAAAACTGGGGAGTGCAAGTTTGGTGAGAAACAGAATATTCAGTCAAATCTCAACACATGACTCTGTGGTAGCCAGCTTCTAGGACGGTCAGAGCGTCCTCCTCTCCTGGGATTCCTGCTTGATGTGTGACAATAGAACACTGCAGGAGGTTAACAGTGGGACTTCCCAGCAAGGTCCTGGTTCTGGGGGCAGCCACAGCCATGTTGTGAGGAAGCTCAAGCAGTCCACTGCAGCCACCATGGTCTTCCATGGCCAGTGGTCAGCTTGCCCACCTGACATTTGTGACAACAGCCACAAGCAAGGGCCACCTACCCAGGCTTTGGATGGGCATCAGCCAACGCAAGTGCAGCCTCATGAGGACCCTGAGCCAGAGTTGTTCCTGAACAGGAGCACAGACTGGGGCGGCGAGTGATTGCCTGAAGCAACTAACTATGGGGTGACTTGATACATGGCGACAGATCAATATGTCCCCCATGTACTGTTATTAATTACAAAGGGAAAAGTAAATGGAGGCCCTAGCAGACGTGACCTTAACCAGTGATCGGAGTTAAAGCCACGAGAACAGGGCAACCTGCCACCTCCTGCCTCTTGAAGACGCACAAAGCTCTAACCTCAGGACACAGCAGGGACATCCCAAGTGGGGGAAACAGCATAGCAGCGATGTTAGTTCCCTGCCTTTGATCGTTACACTGTGGTTACAGAAGCGAATGTTCTTGGAAATACACACGAAAGCATTTAGGGGTGACAGCTTTCAATGATGTGATTCCCAAATGGTTTAGGAAAAAAAATCTGGATCTACCTGCCCACCTGCCCACCCACCCATCTACAAGACCATGAGTGTGACCCTGGCACTCCCCCGAGGCAGGAACGGGCTGGCGTCTGGGAGCTCAAGCCTGCTGCTCTAGGGCAGTTAATGACAAAACTTCCCTCCTCCCACCCTCCTCACCTGGTCAGCCAGGTGTGGTGCGGGAGCTGCCCAGGATGAGCAAGGACCTCACCTGAGCAAGCTAAAGGAACCCTAGTGGATTTCGAGGTTAAGGTAAACCTTAGGTGGAACCAACTTTTCACAAAGGAGGCAAAGGTGACTGGAATTCGCCCGCTTAGCTACCTTGTGAAAGCACAGCAGGCCATGTTTAACTTTTAAGGAATGAGCTCTGACTATGCTGGACTTGGGACCAGCAGATGGAGTCATGGTTAAGTCGCTGGACTCTCACACAGTCGACTGCAGTTTAAATCCTGGCCCCAGCGGCTTAAAACTCAGGCCAGGGATGTGTGCATGTGTGGCCCTAATCCCGAGAGGACACTGGAGCAGAAGGCATTGCGACGTGGCCAACCTCCCACCCCGAGGTGATTTCTCGTTTTCTGTCTCTCTGTCTCTGTCTCTCTAATGAGTGCACGTGCCCTATAGCAAAAACCTCTTAAAAAAGCAAACAAACGAAAAACCTCCCTTTACTCTGGAATAATTTTAAACCTACAGAAAAGTTGTAAGTGCTTGTATAAACCTCACCCAAACTACCCAAAGCTAACGTCCTGCCTCATTTGCTTCGTCTTCCTCTGGGGCAGGAATGTGGGGGAGAAAATGAACCCAAATAGCCACAGGGCTAAGCGGGCTTGTGAGAACGGAGGTAGCACGGGCCTGGTGTCCCAGCAAGGCTCTGCTGTAAATGCTCACGGCACGGACTGTTTCGTCACACACTCTGAAACATGGAGGTGTTGCTGCCTTTTTTTTTTTTTTTTTTGAGGGTGTTTTTTTCTATAGGGCGCATGCGCTCGACAGACAGACAGAGACAGAGACAGAAAGTGAGAAATCACCCCCCAGGGGGGATGGCCACACCATAATCCCTTCTCCTCCATTCTCCTCTCAGGATCTTGGGCACGCACGCACACACGCCCGGCGTGAGGTTAAGCCACCGCGTCCGGGACTCGAACCTCGGTCGACTACGTGGGAGTCCAGAGACATAGCCATTACGCCAACTGCTGGTCCCCGCTGCTGCTTTTTTTTGGAGAGGTTTTTGCTATAGGGCATGTATGCTTGCCAGACAGAGAGACAGAGAGACAGAAAGCAAGAAATCAGCCCCAGTGGGGATAGCCACGTTGCAATCCCTTCTCCTCTCAGGATCTTTGGCACGCACGCACGCGCGCCCGGCGTCAGTTTAAGCCACCAGGTCCAGGACTCAAACCACAGCCCACTACATGGGAGTCCAGCGACATAGCCATTACGCTAACTGCTGGCCCCTGGAGACGCTTCTTATACTTGTTTAAATAGGAAATCCTGCCCCAGCCCAATAATGAGGGGTGAAGGGGACCCCGAGTGGGAGCAGCAGTGGACTTAGAAAAGTCACAGATACACACGTCAGTAGAGGAAAGGGGCCAGGCAGCCTGGACAGCCTGACGGAGACGCTAGGCACTGGGTCACTCACCCTTAATTATTTTGTACCACCAGGCCAGGCATTTGCATTACCCACAGCAGCTGTGGCATTTCCTGCATCTCGTGGCTCTGAACAAGCCTCCCCTGGCCCTCCCTGGGTGGCACATGGCTTCCCTCCGTCTACACCGCCCCGTGGTGCAGACCATGTCTCTATTAGAGCTTTCGCTGGCCCTGCAGCGTCAGCACCAAGACCATATCCGCTTTAAAGGTCACTAGTTTTGACCCAGATCTAGCTGCTTCCTACAATCCCCAGACAGACCCTCTTCCACAGACGCCAGCTTGCACTTATCTGTACGTCCAACGACACACTACTGACCCTGTGAGTCGTACCCCCCCGCCCATGACCCTCATACCCATGGTGGTTACATCAGCGCTCATGTGCGGCCCGCATGCCCGCCACCAGCCTGGGAACTGCTCAGTCTGCAAGATCAGGACTCGCCCCAGAGTGTAACTGACCATCACTAAGCACGCTTCCTTCTCCACAGCAAGGGTGGAAGCAACGTGCTACTTACCTTCCGGCTCCAACTCCACATCTCACTGTGGGCCAGCACTGTGTGTGGCAGAGTTGTTTTGCGGAGGGGTTTTTGCCATAGGGCACGTGCGCTCACTGGAGAGAGACAGAGATAGTGAGAAATCACCCTCCAGAGGGTTGGCCACACTGCGATCCCATCTCCAGTCTCCTGGGATCTTGGGCACGCACGCACGTACCTGCAGTGGTGTTTCGAACCAGGTCCAGGACGGGAACAGCGGTTGGCCATGTGGGGATCCAGCGATGTAACCATTTTGCCACCTGCTGGCTCCAAGCTGCTATCCTTTAATCACCACCTGGCAAGACTTGCATGGGGCCAGCTGGTGGTTAAGTCACTGGGTCCCTTATGGCTGACTGTGGTTCAAGTCCAGGACCTGGCGGCCTGAAAACGTGCCAGGCAAATGTGCACGTGTGCCCCAAACCCAAGGAGGATGGGGAAGGGAATGTGGCGTGGCCGTCTCCTCCGAAGGGTGATTTCTCACTTTCCCTCTCTGGCACGTGCAAAAAGTGGACAACAAAGGCCCTTAGTAGAAGGCTCTCACTGAGCGCACCCTCCTCGGAGCACCTGCCACCTCCTCTGCGGTCTGCGGAGACGGCTTTAATGCGGCCCGAGGGTGAAAGCCGTCCTTGCGCGGTGCACCTCCCCAGCACACCTCAGAGCCAGCCGAGTTCAGACACACGTGGAGCACGTCCCACGAGGCCGGGCCGCTGCAGGCCACTGAGGGCACATCAACGTGTGGCAGCCCCAGGGCCTGGCGTGACCCCTCTGACAGGACTTCTCGATATCACTGCGTCACATCTGAGGGACGTCACCGGTGGGGGTGACATGTAAATGGAGCCTGCAGCACTGAGAAGCTGAGCTCACGGGCTGAAGCCATCTGCGTACCTGTGGCTGGGGAGGCGAGGACTCAAGGATGCGCCTGTCCTCACATGGTCTCCGAGGCGCGGGGTTCACAAGCTAACGTCACTTCCTGTGGGACAGCGGCCGTGCTGCTGTGGAGCCGCCTGGTCCCCAGCAAGCAGGCAGTACCCCCACATAGCCTCAGCCGTTAACTCAAACTTGAAACTGACCGAGACTAGACTCACGGGGCAGTCAAGAACATGCTCTACCGCGTCAAGAGTACAAGTAGTGGGGGCTGGCAGGTGACGTGGTGAAGGGCACTGGACGCCCACAGGCGACCATGGTTTGAGGCCCAGACCAGGCGACTTGCTTTTCTTATTTTCCCTCTCTCTCTCTCTCTAGTCAAACTAAAATAAATAAATAAGTAGCGTTAAATAAAATAATCCTATAAAAAAGAGTCGAGTGTTGATGGCAATGCCTGTCTACGTGGTCCTGTCCCAAGAATAGTCGTCACAGGGCTCACACCGGCAAATTCAAGTGTACGCCAAACATGAAAACAATCAAGTGTCAAGTGTCAGAGTAACTGATGGCTTTTGAACTTCTAACCAATATAAAGAAAAAACATGAATTTCTTTTTAACTGCGCCCTCTAGTGGCTTATTTTTAACTAATAAAAAATTAATAAATCTCATTTTTTTAAAGAATAATTTTATTTAACTTTATTTAAATTTGCCCAGAGAGGTACAGAAAAAGAAAGAGAACTCAGTTTGTAGGTACCTGCCCCTCCTATGTACACATTACTTAAAACTGACTTAAAACACAAACATAACCTTAGACCAAAAAAAAAAAAAATCACAAAATATACATTTATTACTTATTGAGAGGAAACGGGGAGAGGAGAGGAGAGGAGAGGAGGGGAGAGGAGAGGCCAGGAGGCCCTAGACAGGATCCTCGCGCTGTGACCCTCTCCCAGCCCTGCAGCCAGCCAGGCCCACCGGTGTGCACAGCGTTCGGACAAACCCGGGGTGCAGCCAGGAGCCCTTCGGTATCAGGCGGCAGTGCCCCTCTGCCTGACCACTGTGGCTGGGCCTCAAATACATTTTGAGGCCACAACCACCCTGATCTGACCCCACCAAGCCCCCACGCAGACAACAGAGCAGGACTCCGGGTTTTCAGAAGCCACTCTAGTTAGTGCCATTCACTGGTCCCGGCCTACATCCTCAGGGAAGCCTTCCCTTGCAGGGACCTGGTCGCGAGGTCAGCCCTCTCCCTCAACATGCTGGCCTCCTCGGCACTCCTGTGGGCCTGCGTGCCCTTCAGTAAGAAGTGGCTGATGAAGAGCTTCAACCCTTCTCGCAGCATTCCCAGCTTTGGGCTGTCAGACACTCTGGAAGGGAATCGTAAGAGCACACGTCAAGAACAAGCTAGTCTCGGGACCAGCAGTTAGCATAATGGCTATGGTGCGGGCCTCCCATGTAGTCAACCGCGGTTCGTGTCCCGGACCCAGTGGTTTGAGACTCAAGCCGGGCACCTGTGCGTGCGTTCCCAGGATCCCGAGAGGAGAATGGAGGAGAAGGGATTGCGGCGTGACCATCCCCCCTGGGGGGTGATTTCTCGCTTTCTGTCTCTATGTCTCTCTCTGTCTGTCTGGCGAGCGCACGCGCCCTACAGTGAAAATCTCTCCCCCCCCCCAAAAAAAAAAAAAGAACGAGCTAGTCTCGGGACCAGCAGTTAGCATAATGGCTATGTTGCTGGACTCCCATGTAGTCAACCGCGGTTCGTGTCCCGGACCCAGTGGTTTGAGACTCAAGCCGGGCACCTGTGCGTGCGTTCCCAGGATCCCGAGAGGAGAATGGAGAAGGGACTGAGGCATGACTATCCCCCCTGGGAGGTGATTTCTCACTTTCTTTCTCTCTCCGTCTGGTGAGCGCACACGCCCTATAGTAAAAACTGGGGGGGCCCCACCCCCCTAAATAAAAACCTGTCCAAAAAAAAAAAAAAGAATGAGCTAGTCTCTAGGTGCGCTAGAATGCAGCCCACCTTCCTTAGAGCAACGTTGTGCAGGACTTCTTTTTTTAAGAATAATTTTATTTAACTTTATTTACTTAAATTTGCCCAGAGAGGTACAGAAAGAGACAGAGAGAGAGAGGGAGAAAGAGGGAGGGAGAGAGAGAGAGAATGCATGCTGCCAGGTCCAGGACTTGAGCTGCGGTTGAGCAAGTGGGAGTTCAGTCCCCTTACCCACCATGCCACACGCAGGACCCTCCAGTACTTAACATGTTCTGTTACACATCACTGTCAGCTTGCTATCCGTAAGTTATAAACCTAACGGACTGGGCACAGCTTGAGACCGCCGCGGCCGTGACCGCACACACCGTGTGAGCACCTTGCTTCTATAACCAATGGGAGTGGAGACCACCTCTCCGTCTCCTTCCCAGGTCTTACCACAAGCTGGGAACTCACCGTGCGAAAATTAAACCGAGATCTTCCACCTCTGTCTCCATCAACAGGGTATTTAACACGTTTCGTAAAAAGCGAACTCTGGGCTTGTCCAATTCACTGAATTCAACAACCTAGTGGGGTGTAAAAAAAATTTACACTTAGGACCAGCAGGTGGCGTGGTGGTTAAGGCGCTGGACATTCCCATATGGCCGACCATGGTTCAAATCCTGGACCTGGTGGCTTGGTTTCTCACTTTCTCTCTCTCTCTTGTCAAATTAAAATAAATTAATGAATAAATAAAATAAAATAAAATAAAAATTCTTTAAAAAAATTACACTGATTTAGTCACTTTTTCAATGACTTCTAAGTACAGTTAATTAGAATAAAAATCCCTCCCTACTTTTCACATGACCCCGATTTAAGAGGCTATTTCCAGTTTTGGAAAATAAGTGGCTTAGTGGGACCAGCAGTTAGTGTAATGGCTATATTGCTGGACTCCCACGTAGTCAACCGCGGTTCAAGTCCCGGACCCGGTGGCTTAAACTCATGCCGGGCGTGTGTGTGTGCGTGCCCAAGATCCCAGGAGAAGAATGAAGGAGAAGGGATTGTGGCGTGGCCATTCCCTCTGGGGGGTGCTTTCTCACTGTCTCTCTCTGTCTGGCGAGTGCATGCGCCCTATAGCAAAAACCTCTCAAAAAAAAAAAAAAGAAACGAAGTGGCTTAGCAAGCACATGAAATCACACGGATTTTTGGATGCCGAGGAGCGTCCACCAGCACAGTAGGACCACCATGGAGAACAGAAAACGTATTACCCCTCCCCCACAGTTACCATTTTCTAATTACCCCCTGCCTCCCCTTAGTACAGGCTGGTAAACCAGCTCCGCTCTGACTTACTAGGGAAGCCCATACCTCCTGTTAACTTGGCTATCTCTCTGATGGGTTCTGAGAATGAAAACACTTTTCAAGTAAGTCATAATCTAAACAAATGCACTTAAAATAATTATTTATTTTTTATTCTTCTTCAATTGGATGAGAGAGAGAGACAAAGAGAGAAAGCAAGCCGCCAGGTCTGGGACTCGAACCGTAGTTGGCCACATAGGAGTCCAGCACCTTACCATCACAGCACCTGCCAGGTCCAAAATGCACTTAAAAAGTACCAACTACACGTGATTGTATCATCTTCTTCATTGCTTTCAAAAATTTCACGTTATACAAACCTTTAAAATGGAAAGTGTAAGAGATTTCGTCTTCAACAAGTGGGCGACCAGTTGAACCAAATTGGAGAAATTAGTAGCTGGCAAGTTTTCTAAGTCCCGAAACTTGTCCCATATGCTGAACTGGAAAGTCATCTAACATAAGTTAGAGAGGAGAGAGGTTAGACTCCAACAGGCTACGAGATAAACCTCTCCGACTGCAATCTGAAGGTATCGCGTGTCTCCCCTTGGTCATAAATAGCCAAGCTCCCTAGGAGGGACCACAGTCCTTCCCTATGGACAAGAGGGTGAAATCCTGTCACATCTCCCTCCTGTTGCCCCCAACAAAAGGCCTTGCAGGAAGGCTGCTGCTCAGTTACGCTAGAGGGGACTCAGCCAGCCTGGCCACACGCTCGTGGCATCCAAGACAGAAAAGGTGACGTGAGCACACTGTGCACCCTCGCCACTCCCTCTGGTCACCCCGTTGCCTCCCCTCCTGAAGTGTGTGCTGGAGGCCAGCATGGGCCACAGATCATGACTGAGTGGACTCCAACCTGGGCATGCGAGCCAAGGGTGAGTAGAGGAAGAGCACAACTCCACGTGGAGGCCCTCGCACCCTACCTGGAACCTCCTTTCATAGGCACAGAACTTGCTAGCCAGGAGTGCATAGAAAGGGTTATAGGTTTTCTCTTGAAGGCAGCAATCCATGAGAACATGAACGATTTCTCTCTCCTGCTGATCCTTAAGCCCGAGCCTGCAAGACAGAACAGCAGCGACGAAGGTGTCACCACTGCCCCAGCCGTCCTCGCTAACTGGGAGGGGGGTCAGAGGGCTGCGCCGGTAAGAGCCCCAGACAGATGGCCATATGGAGTCGTGAAGCAGGCCACCACCTGAGCTTCGCTTGTTCTGCTGGCAGGACACACCGAGGCCCTGCGGTGCCCAGGTCCTAGTGGTCTGTCCCCGGCATGCCAGCACTGAGATTCCATTGTGTGGATGTCCTCATGTTCACTTACCCGCTCCCCAGCTGAGGAGCACATGGGTGACCAAACAACTGCTCTGTAAGTGCGCCAATCCAAGCACACTTGAAGCTGCTGATTCTATAAAGGCAGACATGCTGAGCTCTTAGGGGAGAGAACTGGGTCTCCTGCAAAGAACCACCAGCCAAAACCCACAGAAACTGCTTGTTAAGAGTATGCAGACAACTGAATTAACCGATCTATTCTGGGCTATATTTATATCAATTTATGTTATTTTTACATTTAATTTTTTTAAGACTTTTGCCATAGGGGGCATGCATTCACCAGAGAGCCATGGAGAAAGTAAGAGGGAAAGTGAGAAATCACCCCCCAGGGGTGACGTCTAATGTTATAAAGTTATAAAAAGTTCAGAACAGCAGCTAATGATCCGACGAATAAAAATAAGAGAAAACACCATTTAATAAGCACAGTCTGGTAGACTCAGATGCCCAAAGCACGACAGCACTAGGGAAATGAGTGTCCCTGCTGCACTCGGGGTCGGCACAGAGACCTGTGCTCTCCCACACCAAGGACCCTTAGCAGGCGAGCGCGGCGGGGGCACGCGGACGCATCAGAGAGGTGCTGGGTGGGGTGAGGGATGCTGAGAAAGCTCAGGGCTTCCCCTTCGACAAGGTCCTCTGGGTTAGAGACTCTGATGGTCACAACCCTAAAATGTGAGTTTCATTCTGGTCTGAGCAGACAAAGGAAGTAACTAACATCAGACTGTCTGGAAGCACGGTGTAAAAGCACACAGGCACTGCTGACCTCTTTCTGCGGTGAGTTACAGACACACGTCGGTAAGGTCCACAGGAAACCAGAAGGGTGACCTTAACGCAAGGGCCTGTGGACCTTGAAGCAGCTCAGGACAGCCAACACCACTGAGAGTCAACTGGCCAGCACTTTCCGTCAGAACCCTTGAGTCTTCACGTAGCAGGATTCTTGCCCCAGCTGGCCCTGGGCCATGGGCGGCCGCAAGCCTGGAGCATTCAGGGAGGTCCCCAGATCGAACCCGGAACCTGCCCACGCTTGCCCGCCTTGAGGAACGTGCACGATGTGCTCACGAGGAGCCACGCATGGCAAGTTACTGGCACACGGGCACTAAGGCAGCCAGACCGTAACAGGGCAGGGGAGCGTGGGGAGCCCAGCTACGCCTCAGCAGTACCCGGCTCTCCCGCCCAAGTGCAGATCAATCACTGCTTTTATACTAGCCCGCTGAGAGATCACGTGCTCACCCAACTGCTTACTTCAGAAGCTTTTCGAAAGCATCGAGGAAGTCTTCGCTCGTCATTATCGTACAGAATATGTTTCTCCGAACATCTGTGTTCATTCTCTGCCTTCGGGCAAGTTCTAGTATCTTGGAGCTTACCTGCTGAGAGGAACCATTAACAGATTACACAAACACTTTGAAGGAAAGCTGTTCCTGACAATACTATGCCACACTTCACTGGACAGAAACAGGGTGAGATGATGTGGGGATGTGTGAATGCTCAGCCTTCATACCAGGACCGACACCACGGGATAGCAAGCCACAGGGAAGCCGCCACCCCACCCTGGGAAACCTGCTGGTGAGCAAGACTGCAGCCTGAGCATGAGACATGGAAGTGCCACAGAGAGGACACAGGACACAGGTAAGTGCCACGGAGAGAGCCCAGGACACAGGTAAGTGCCATGGAGAGAGCCCAGGACACAGGACACAGGTAACTGCCACAGCCACAGAGCCCAGGTCACAAGACACAGGTAAGTGCCATGGAGAGCCCAGGTCACAGGACACAGGTAAGTGCCACAGCCACAGAGCCCAGGACACAGGACACAGGTTAAGTGCCACGGAGAGAGCCCAGGACACAGGTAAGTAAGTGCCACGGACAGAGCCCAGGACACAGGACACAGGTAAGTGCCACAGAGAGAGTCCAGGACACAGGACACAGGTAAGAGCCACGGCCACAGAGCCCAGGACACACAACCACCAAGTGTGACCTGGGACCAGGCCATGGATCCTGACGCAAGAGGACACATGGGGAAACTAGGGAATCCGGTAACGTACAGGCACTAGTTAACGACAGACACACAGAAGTGCAGAGAATGCTCAGGACGTCACTCCGATGACTGGCTGGGGGCCACACCTGCCACATCCCATCTCAACGACAGGCACCTGCAGAGGGCGGGCTCTGGTCTTCCCCACCCCACTCCATGCACCTTTTACATCTCCTGCGTGGTATGTTTTGAGAGTTTGAAAAAGTCCGTTAGGAAGAAACAACAGGGGCCATCTGGTGGAGTGGCAGTTAAAGCAGCTGGATCCCACACGGCCAACTGTGCTGTTTGAGTCCCAGATCAGTGGCTTAAAAATCACACTGGGTGCACGTGTGTCAGCCCCAAATCCCACGAGAACAGAGAAGGGATTGTGGCACGGCCATCCACCTGGGAAGTGCTTTTCCTCTCCTCCTCTCTCCAGCAAGCTCATATACCAGGCTACAGATGAGAACAGCCTGATTTACTACCAGCAGCCTCTGTAAGGCCTGCTATAAGCCTAAGCTGGACCCCGCGGTCCCCACCCCGAGTTACATGGCAGCAACCCCAGGCAAAGCAGGGTCTCCGCACCGTCCCCACAGGCGGCTTCTGTAGAGGGGGGTGACAGCTGCTGTCAATCATCGGTGCACCAGTCCACGCAGATCCCACAATCCACCAGCGGCCAGTCTGCTCAGCGTTCAGGATGCCGTCCCAGGACACACGAAGCCGCGCCTCTGAACCTGAGCCCCCGCTGCGCACCTGAGTCGAGAGAAGATGGGGAGGGGAGTGCTTGCTGCTGACCATGTTCTCCACGCTCATTAGATTCAGCTGTGCAAAGTTCTTATTAGGATAAATACTGTAAGTCAGTGACAACTAAGAATAGTTGGAATGAAGTCAAAATTAGCGGTCGGGTGTTCTGTTTTTGTTTTTTTTTTTAAGAGAGATTTTTTTGGGGCCAGCAGGTGGCATGGTGGTTAAGGGTGCTGGACTTCCACATGGCCTGCAACAGTTTGAGCCCCAGACTTAGCAGCTTGCTTTCTCACTTTCCCTCTCTCTCACTCTGTCCTTCTCTGGTCAAATTAAAATAAATAAGTAAATAATGATAAATAAAATAATTCTAAAAAAAAAAAGATTTTTGCTATATGGTGTGTGTGCTCACTGGAGAGGCAGAGACAGAAGGCGAGAAATCACCCTCAGGAGGGATGTCCATGCTGCAATCCCTTCTCCATTCTCTCAGGATTTTGGGCGCACACACACACACATATGCCCAGCCTGAGTTTAAGCCACCGGCTCCAGGACTCGAACTATGGTTGACTACATGGGAGTCCAGAGCCGTAGCCCTCACGCTCCTGCTGGTCCTGGTACTCTCTATTTTGACCTCTGTGGATCTGTCGGTCAAGCGGTGCTGTCCTCAGAAAGCTGTCACGACAGGTGAGGGCCGAGCTGCTCAGACTCAGGTGCGCGCGTGAGCTGGAGGGGCCTGAACTATGCTAGGGTCAGCAACAGCTGGGACTTGGCCCTGGCCACACGTTAGAAACACCCCAGGAATTACTCTGGGGAGCTCCTTCTCCGCCCCAGCCACCCTGACACCCAGGGCAGGGGTGACAGTCTGCCCCGCTGAGCAGAGCACCTGCACGGGTGCAGGGACAGACCGATGTGAACCTTCACTTGTGAAGACTGCCTGTGCTCTGGCCACCCTGACCCCTACCTGGAGAGACCGTGAGCCCTCCCCTCCCCTCCCCTCCCCTTCCCATCGTTAGAGCCGCAGCCACCAGCAGCGGCCTGCCCTGCAGACCTGGCCATCTCCTGTCTCCACGAGGGGTTTGGGTGGCCACGGAGGCCCAGAACGAACGTGAACTGAAGGCTGCTTACCAAAGCTCTCTGCACCTTCCTCAGCTTCTCCACGGGCTCGGGGTCGTAGCCGGGAATTTTGCGCATGTCATTGTTCTTCAGCGCCAGCATCGTCTCCAGCATAAACCGAATCTTTAAATGAGGAGAACACCTGTCATTCCAGATGGTCTAGGTAGTGGCTGTTCAACCTGTCAAGACACACAGTAGGCAGTGCACGTGGCCTTCACTCTGACGGGGACAGCTCAGTTGTCCTCAGGGGAGTTTCAGTCTCCCTCGGACCTGGACAGTAGTTCAAGATGGGCCAGAACGTCCCTGGCCTCCTGTGGACCTGAGCGCCACCCAGAGGACTTCCTGCTCCTCCATCCTCCCGGCCTAGAGCTGCCTGTCCTGCCACCCTCCCCACCAGCCGTTCAACTGCTGCTACGGTGGGAAATACAGTCACGCCCACAGGGAACCTGTGTGAACATACCGAGGACTCTCATGTGCCCTCCTCTGACCTCCCCACTGGGACCATCCGCACCCTGTGATAGTCACGCATCTCAAAACCAAGTGTCCCACTAGGTGGTCTCAGTATGTCCAGGACTGCACGGCCAGCTCTCCCACTTTCTCCCCACCCCCAGAGAAGCTCCGGGCCTACGAACAGTCACCTCCCGGGCCCCTGCCACACCCCCACCTCTTGGCCCTGCGGACATTAGCCCTGAGCCTCACTATGCTGGGCCGGCTGAGCTGACGGCCCCACATGCTGCCGCAGCCACCCCTGCCATCCCGGTACTATACCGGGGGCCCCTCCTCTGACCCTGTCCCGACGTGTGGGTGGTCCTGAATCCCACAGCTCACCAGGTGCTCCTCGTGTGTCTCACAGCACAGACCTGCACCTCCTGTCCTCCACCCTGTCTGCACGATGCCTGCCACCTCTGAGCCTAAATCCACACCCATGGCCGTAGGCTGGCGTCCCCTGACGACTGCTCCAGACCCAGCAGCTGCTGTTCTCTGATAGTCCCCAATTTCCCACCTGACTTTCCTACGTCATCGTAGTCAGCGACCCTGAAATGGAAACTCGCACCACTCATCACCTATGAGCCTTCTCGATCCCTCCAGGGCGATGCCCAGCGGCCTGCAGGGGGCTTACGGCTGGGCACCTCTGCCTGTCATCCCAGACGCTCTGCCAGGCCCCCACCCTAACCTTTTCCCTCCAACAGGCCACATCCATCCTCCCCTTCAGGGATCCTCACTGCCACGCTTGAGGCCCTCGTTATCCCACGGCGGATGGGCTGGAGCCAAGGTCAGTCCCCAGTCTACAGCCGCAGGTCACGCTGCTGTTGGAGAGGGGGCCCAGAGTTCCAGCCAGCTGGGGCAGAGCCCAGGCCGTGCCAGGGGTCTCTGCAGCAGCACTGTTTCAGCAGTTAGGTGTTCTGTAAATTGGTTTTTACACTCATGGGATAGCTACCCCAATTCTTAGCAAAGAAACAAGGGTTCACACGTTAAAGATAAAGCCATAACCAGACAAGGCATAACGAAACCACCAGATGGTAAGTGCAGCGTCTACTCCAGGCCCTTATCTCTAATGCGGCTCAGCCTGCGGCGTACCCTGGTCTGGTCCTGCAACGCGCCGCCTGCCTCACGGGCTCTGGTCTGGGCTTCGGTGATCAGCTCCTTTAGGGATAAAGCATCATCTTTTCTCAGCGAAAAGCCAACGTTTTTCAGCACTAACAGGATCAGCTCGACATCCTTTTCTGTGAACGTTCTGATGAGCTTTTTCAGAATGTCAGTGATGAGGAGAGACTGCACCACGTGGAAGTTGTACAGGTGGGCGACGATGGTGAGGAGGTTCTCGCACTCCTTCCCCTCTCCTCCGCCCTTATAGACGTCCTCGAACTTCCTCACCACGGCCTCCAGGAAATGCGCACCCACCTGCCAAGAGACCCAGAGCCACAAGTCAGCCTGTGCTGTCCCCAGACACGCTCGACTGTGCACCAGGGAGACCTGCCCTGGGGTGTGGCCATGAAGCCCGAGACTGGCCGTGATGGCATGGGGCTAGTGGGCCCAGAGCCTGCACAGCAGAACAGCTGCTACGGCACCCGGCCTTGACCCAGGCACCTGCTCACGTCAAGTGCATTTCCTGCCCAGGAGTCACTCTGGATCCTTGGAAAATAAAAATATTAGAAATGTTGTTTAAAACACACCTACACATGTAAAAATGTTCTACGACCTAACAGTACTCATTTCTTAAAAGACTTCTCCTGGTTTTTACTCCAAGTTAATTTCTTACAAGAAATCAATATAGTGACACCTAAAACAGAAAAACAAAAGGCTTCTATCTGGATGGGGCAAAGCGCAGCGGCCGAGGCACCGTCTTCCCAGGAACTCTGGCTTCAGAGGCAGTGCATGAACACACCCGGCCAGCTCAGCCAGCCACTCGGGGCCAGGAAGTGCAGCGGTGCCCTCTGTCCACACCCCACAGCCTGGGTAGCAGTGGAGACCTGGCTTTCCCGCTGGTCCGGAGCAGGTCCCTCAGCCTGCTCTGTCACTCAGTAACTGAAATAGTGAGACTCGAGGCCATTACCAATCGCCGTGTCTCCCTTGGTTGTTTCCTCTCAAATCTCAGCTGAGGCTGATACAGAAGAAAAGGGAGAAGGTGGGAGCAGGCAGCCCAGGGAGACATGGGATGACTGTCAGTCCACGGCATGATGACCTGAATCAATCACACCTCTCTGTTGGAGCAGGAAAGGCCTGGGCTGTGACAGGGACGGCCTGGACAAGTACAGGGAGGGTGGGTGTGCAGGTCACCAGTGCCTCGACTCCAGGGCTTTGGTCTGAGACCCGCAAGGAGGCAGGCTGGTGGGGCGCTGCTCAGTGGGTGGCGTAGCCAGGAGCACACCGGACTGCAGGGCTGGGAACCACAGTGAAGGATCGAACGCTGGGCCGGGGACAGCTGAAGACACACCAGGAGTGGGTGCTCACAACCCTGAGGGGCCAGGGGGCTGGAAAGGGGCCAGGGGTTGCTGTAGCACAAGGAGGCCTAGTTGAGGTGCTTTTCTTTCTCTGGCATGTGCACGCATGCTCTCACATGGCCTACGGCGGTTCAAGTCCCAGACTCACTGGTTTGAAACTCACACCGGGCGTGTGTGTGCGCATGCCCTGAATTCCAGGAGGCGAATGGAGAAGGGACTGCGGCACAGCCATCCTCCTCGGGGTGACTTCTCATTTTCCCTCTCACTGTTTCTACTTGGTGAGCGCACACACCCTACAGCAAAAACCTTAAAAACAAAACAAAAGAACCTAACAGTGTAACATTTAAAATTACGAATAAGATACATCTTACAGAATTTAAGCATATGTGTTAATTTTGATGTGTGAATTTTTAAAAAGAATTATTTAATTTTATTTATTATTATTACTTTTTAATTTGCTATAAGGTACTTAGGTTCACCAGAGACAGAGAAAGTGAGAAAGCAAGCCTCCAGGTCTAGGATGCAAACGGCAGTCGGCCATGTGAGAGTCCAGTGCCTTAACCCCCATGCCACCTGCTGGCCCTAATTTTTAACACAGTAACGGAAAGAAAAAAATACTTAAAATGCAAAGAATGTGACTGCCATCACAGGAAGCATGCTGACTCATGCACAGAAAATAAGTTGTGTATCTTTTTTTCCCTAAGAGACTTTTGCTATAGGGCACGTGGGCTCACCAGAGAGACAGAGACACAAAGACAGAAAGCAAGAAAACACCCCCCCGCAGTGGGGTGGTCACGTGACAATCGTTTCTCCTCCACTCTCCTCTTGGGATTTTGGGCAAGCATGCACGTACAGATGCCTGGTGTGGGTTTTAAGCTGATGGGTCTGAGAAGCAAGCCGTGGTCTACTGTGGGAGTCCAGTGGTGAACCCATTACGCCGTCTGCTGGTCCCACAAGCGGTGTCATCTCTGACGAGCCTCGTGGTTTGCAGGAGTGCCCCACCCCTCTGCAGCTGTGTTTGCTACACTTGCAAGGACATTTGGTGGAGGTCTGCCTTGCTCTCCTCACTGGGCCCTGTGAGGAAGACGCCCACGCAGGCAAATGTAACCAGGGAACCAGACTTCAGGGTGCCTTGCTGCCCTGGCTGCTGTGGGAAACCACCATCGGGCTGGCAGTTGGCGTGGAGGTTAGGGCAGCTGGATCCCAGAGGCTTGAAAACCACTTCGGGCGTGGGTGCATGCTTACCCAAAATCCCAAGAGAAGAATACAGAAGGGATTGTGTGCCTCCCCC